GGCAATAGTACGAAATATAATCGATGATGGTTTGGAACAAATTCGTAGTTATATAAATATTGCAAGTAAAGGTGAATTTAGGCAAAATAAAACAGGAATTTAGGATGAAAGAATTGAAATAGAAGATGATGATGGTTATTTAGGCGGATTCCTTATTGCATCATTAGGTTCTGAGAGGATTTTAACAAGAACAATAAACTTTAAAAAAAGTAATTATAGATTTTTAGTGAAGAAATAAAGAGTAATACGAATAGTTGTAGAGTAGGGCCACCCAAATGAGTTTCACAGATGCATATTTATTTACATATGATGTCATGGTGAAGAAAAAGAAGTAATTAAATTAACTGGCAGAGGAATGGTCTTTTTTTTACTTTTATGTTCAGAAATGGAACAAGAACTAATTATTAAATTCCATGTTGAATCAATGCTAATGTCAAATCTATGAATTAAGTAGGGTTGGTTAATATAGCTCAATGGAAATGTAGAAAACATATTGTTTGTTGACATTATGTTATTTAATATTACCTTATACAACTTAGACCAGATGGTCCAGACGCATTTAATTTGTATGATCCCATTATATGGTGATCATAAACAAGATCACACTAGAAGCAGTATTTTTCCAGCTCTAAGAAGCCTAATATTAGATATATGAATTATCTTACTTACATATTCTTACTCAACTACTATTATAACCATTACAACCATTCAAATGCTATCACATATTGACTATATCAACCAGCTAATCAAAAAGCTTTAGAAAGCAGAGTTTCAAAAATGGAAGGATCATTTGATAAAAATAATGATAATAAGTATGGATGAAAAATATATAATAGTAAGACCCAAAATAAAAATTTGATACAAATATTTGCGTAAATCATGGTTGAAACATTTAGTAATTTCTCATTAAATTATTATATACTTCTTGTTAATCAAAAAAATAAGAAATATATAAATTTTAAAAAATAATACATTCTTTATTTCCCTTTATTATCCATAATAGTAAATTCAATATTAGCCAAAAGAAGTTTGAGAACAAAGAAAAATTATTAGTGAAACTTGACAGCAAGAAATAATACAGTGAAACTATAGTAGAATTTTACAATGTACATTAGAAGCAACTAATAATCTTTTGCCTCTTATACTATTTACCAATAATGATCCAATGATAATTGCCATTCATCATGATAATAACAATATATATAAACAAAATCATTTTACCTCTTCATATTTCTTCAAAATGATAATTTTACTTACAGTTATAAACAGATACTATCATTTGGATATGGATCATTTGCGCCTGTGCCTCTATTGCAATGTCATATTATTATCATATGGACAGGTTTCTCTTCAAGCACAAGTAAATTTAGCTAATTTGTCATAAGATTCCACAAAAAGTTAGTGTATTCATTATTCAAAGTCTATGTAAAAAAACAACTTATATTTAAAGTCAAAATCAATTACATCAACTCATCTTAAAACTGATCTTTGAATGATAAGGAAGCAAACATGGATATATTGGAATTACAGCAACGTAGCTTACTTCTGATTTTACTTTTTATAGAGTTTTATTTTTATATAATCATTTAGTATTTTATATAAGAAAGACTCGCTCTTTGGACTGAGACTTTTTTCAAAATATTGTCTTGTTAATGTTCTGTATTTATTTTTTATCTTTAAAAATATTTATAAATGTGGTAATAATTATAAACTAATCTGGATGATCTTCCGGACTCCAATTGGGAACATTGGGAACATCCTACTCAGTTCTAAGATATCAGATTAGGATATCCACATTGGAACTATAAATAGGATCTCTTTATGGTTTAACAATTAGGGACTTGGATCTTTATAAAAAAATCGGAATTACCTCAAGGAATCTATATATGATAATCTGGTTTTTTTTCACTCAATAAAAAAACTTTCACACGAATAATTAATTTTTTTTCTCTAAATATTTTTTTCGGAAATATTAATATCCGTAATTTCACTAATTTTAATACCAAATAAATATTTTTTTTACAAGATATGGCTTTAGAAAATGTGAATAATATTAATATTTTAGATGAAGACATTGAAATTGATGATGGTGCGTCTAATAAATCAATAATTTCGGAAGAAAGAGAAGGCTAATGAGAGAATATAAAAATAATGTTCCACTGTCTGTTACATATCCAGGAAAAGTAGATGAAAAGGATTATATTATCACCACAGTAAATTTGCCAAAAAGAACGCCAGACTAGACTTCTAATTTGTGATTTGGCTGATAAAAAAAATGAGCCATGATAGCAAGTTAAGATAAAGATTCATATTTATATAAAAACTACAAATTTATTTTCAATTTAAGATGAAATAGTTACTCTGTTATTCAATTTTGCATCTTACATAATATTCTCATTCTCTATTTTTGCCTTTATTATTATCATTGTTATAGTACTATTTTATTCTTTTCTTCAATAATAAAGTCCAATATTCATTGAAGAAATTCTCATTGATTTCACCAAATTGAAAGATGATTTTATTATTCTATATCCCGTGTATTTCAGTGAACAAACCTGAGTTAATGTGATATGATATGATTAATTCCTTTGGAGTCTTTTATGGTTTCGTCATTTTTCACCAAATGGATTTACTAAAAAAATAATATTAGATAATCAGTTTATAATAAAAACAAAGTTTAAATACATGAAATTTTTACCATATACATCGATTTAAATCAAAAATATGATTCAAAGCGCAGGAAAAAATTATTAGAGCATGAAATTCTAAATTTAGTATATGTTGCGATAGGACTCTGGACCAAAATGACCATATACACGTGTAGATTGTTCCTTTTATTGATAATTTTTTTTAGATGCCGGCTGGCATTATTATAATTCCGGCTCTGAAAGAACTAATAGTCAGCACCTTATAGTACCAATATGAGACTTTCCAGTGTCCTGCAATATAAATTTATTTAATTAAATATACAATAACAAATTTTAATTGCAGAAATCTGAATGTTAAGGCTATATTAAAATGCAAAGTTAATCTGCTGTCTTTGTTATAACTTTTAAAATGTGGAATTGATATGATAAGTAAAAAATCTATTACATTTAAAAAAAATGATTTTTTCCAATTCTTTAATATTTGAAACTTCATATTTATTGAAAAATCTGTGGAAATTGTGAATTTATATATACCATTCACTTGCATTTTTCAGATTATTCAACAAGTAATAAAAAATCAATTAAGGTGATAATATAAACATTTTCAAGAAATATTGTATATATATTAGTTATAAATTAAATATTTATGTCATATTAATTTTTGAATAGTTAATTCTATGCGCAGTATATTACCTATGTAAACTTTGTCAGTAGTTAATGAGAAAAAAAATCATTGTTCAAATAAAAAAATAAAAAATCAAAAGGAGCGGTTAAATAAAAAAAAATCATTAAAATTTTTGTTTTTTCATTATTTTATTATATCAAATATCAAGTGTATTAAAATTATTTTTATTTAAACAAATAATAACTTGTATCGTAAGTAAACGTAGCAGTTGTAGCAATCGTAGCATGGTTAATAATCATGTAGATCTTTACCTTTTTTAGAAACTGGCTGACATTATCATAATTTAGTCATAAATCTGTCTCGAAAAAAATGCGCAAGTAATTTATTTTTTTTTTTTGCTACATTTTATACTCGTGTATATATATATATATCTGATAAGTGGTAATAATATTAACAAAAATAGGCGATGCGTATTAGCATCAAAGATTGATAATATTAATTGAATTAACGAAATAGAGATAAAATAATCTATTTTGTCACTATATCTTAATTATTTATTTTCTTTAGATGAGAAGAAAGGAAGAATTATTGATGATACTTTGAATTATCCAATAGGTTAGTATAGCTAAATCCATGATTAAAAGGATGAATGTACCTTAAAACAGTAGAAATTACAATGTTAATATTTAAAAACTTTGATACTTATCTCTCCCTGTTAATATTAACTACGGAAAACGGGATCTATGTGTTGTAATCACATGACAATAAATTAATAAGCTTATTTCCAATTCCCCATGAAATAAATAATACACATAGATACATGATCTGCAATATTAATTGTTGTCCTGCACTACGCCTCAGATAACAAAAAAATCATTTTGTTTAGACAAATAAATATGAAAATATGTAAAGTATCAGCAAGATTACAGTTGATTGTCAGTTGACCACATTTAATTCCATAATTCAAGAAAAAAAAGCCAATTCTAGAAAGTACAACCCCATTTTTTGAGAAAGAAAAAAATAATTTATCAAATTTGATCATACTAACCGTTTTCTTTGATAAGTTACTTTGTTTGGGTCGATTTTATTTTTCAAAATGAATTATCTAAATAAAAGACGAGAGATAACAAATTCCGAAACTCCACACAACAATATTCATTTTACATTCAAAAAATTTCATTATTTTTTTTATTTGTTTACAATTACAATTATTAATAATTTGTTATTTAGAACCATTAATATTACTTTTGTGCTAACACAAAAATCAGGAGAATGTTTTTTGGCATACTTCACATTATTATACATTTTAAAAGTTAATTGTTACATAATTTGAATTTAAAGTTTATGATGATAATAAAGGTTTTATCTTTTCTCATTCACTATTACTTTTTATGGAATTTCATTTGATTGTCTATTTGTATTCTTTGTGTAATTATTTTTATAACCCAGACTCTAGTGGCGCAAAGATGATCATTATTAATAAATATTAATTATGGGAACAAATATAATCAATCCTTTTTGGAAAGAATATAATAAATTGTAGGGGTTATTTCAGTTATCTTTTAAATCTGTTACGACTGTTACGTAATCAGCAAATAATAATCAAAAAATCAAGAATGTCAGAATTTCTTTTTTAAGGCTTTTGCAATAAGCGCAGTAAATAACACAGCCGAAAGATCTGCGGATCTTTCAGTTAATTATAGAAAAGGCAAAAAAATACAAAGAAGCTTTAAAGCTAAAGAAATAGTAAATAATTACTGTTTCTATCTGATTTTCTATATAAGTCTCAAAAATCCAAATCTATTTTTTTTTTATCATTTTCGAATTATTTTTTCTTTTCTTAATAATCAACACTAAGTTAAAATGTGTAAATTCGGTCTTGAAGTAAATAGATTGATCATTACTCTTTAACAAGAAAAAATACGTTAAATAATATTAACGAAATGTGTGGTTTCCTTATAGGAAAATAATCGTATCAGACATTCCGTGAGAATGTATGGACATCTTGATGATTGTTTTATAAGGATAAGCAAAATATTGCCACAATACACACCAAAACAAATCGAAAATCAGTAAGTAACAAAAATATTTTACATATTCTCCTTTTTTTAGACAAATCTTTAATCTTTTTTTTTACAATTAAACTTAGTTATAAAAAATATCTTGATGAGGAGGGTAAGTAAAATCTTATACCTAATATTTTCCTTAGAAAATAATTTTAATTTACATCTTCGATTAGCCCCACCAATTAATTATGAACGTATTCTTGAAACATACGAAAAGCTTCAAGCGATAAATATTAAAAATGAACGATTGCGGAAATTGGTATTTATTTGTCAAGAATTTTATTTTTCACTGAAAAAGTCCGTAGAACAGAAAATTTACATTCACATTTAGTCAAATGTATTTTTAAAATTTTATTTAAATTATTTAATTTATCAATATTTATACAGTATGTAACCAATTTATATTGTTGTGTCTCTTTTGTTACATACCTCACAAATAAAGCTCAAAGTTATATAATTGCCTTCAATTTCATAAAAGTCTACACTTTTGTGATTAGTATCTGGTTCAAGTTCAATTTTATTTTCTTTTAAGAGTATATACAGTAGTTACTTCAGAAAATTTGTAACATATTTGACAATTTTTAAATTGTTCTATTATAAAGTTCTTTTATAACTTATTTTTTTTTACACATAAATTGTTTCATTTCCTTATTTATCGTTGTAATAGAGTAAAACGAGTAAAGAATTTCTGACTCAAAGAGTAAACTCACATGAGTCAATGTCATAGTGCAGGCCAAAATTGTTTATAATTTTGGTCAACTCCGCACACATATACTCGCGGATTTGACTCACTTGATGATTGGAATGTCGATCATAATTTTAGCCAAAATGATCTGTCTATATGAATGTAACGTAGGCTGACATTATGATAGTTCTGGCCAACATTACCGATCACGTGTAATTGAATCAAAAGAAATTCGTGACTCGGAAATAATTTTATTGATAGAAGAAAATTTTGTAGATATCGGTGAGAAATCAGGTAGTGAAAGATTATAGTAGTGAGATTCTCATAGTTAGCGATACAAGTTAGTTGTAAAAAATTTATAAGAAACCTGAAAGCAAAGAATAACTTGATATTGGAAGACTTGCATTAAATGGCCTAGGATCCGTATACTCCCTCTCTTTGATAACTCTTACTGAAAGTTTACCAAAGTTTGTGGTGTATGAATACTGCATCATTATGTTTTTTTATTGTAATGATAAACTTAGCATCATTATAGAATAATACAACCTGTGCTGATCATAATACACAAAAAGATTTCTCACTTTTATATTTACAGTTTTACAACTTTACAACAAACCCAAATATTACTAAACTAATAAGCATTAAAAATCAGAGTTTTAGAACTTTCATATTGTATTATAAAAAGTTAACTAAGATTGTAATGGTACAACCTGATCTACAATAAACTTAATGGTACAATTGCTATCTGCATATCGAGCATTCATTAGTACATTAAGCATCCTCCGGTTGTGAAAGAAGTGTATGACATTAATTTTATCATTGAGTGGCCAATGAAGTTTCCGAGCTGTATAACCATCTTCACACATAAAATGAACTATCCAAATTTCGTCTGCAGATAATAGTTCAGCATACTTAAGAACACTTTTGAAGTGCTCATCAAGGTCATTTTGCGTTGCAGTGGCAAGAAGCTCAAGAACAATTCTTTGATGGTCTGCTGTAATTACTATATTACTATATAAGTGCTTATTTCTTCTGTTGTCACAATTTTCTACTATATGCCACTGTCCATCGACCTCGATGCCACCCGCCTTGACAATCCAATTAACCAAAACCCTGCACAGCTCTGTGTCGTACACACTTTCTTGAGGAACTTGGATATTTTTTATACCATTAACATACAAATCATCTGCAACCTTATATGACTTATCAAATGCACTAGAAATGATGTCTTTATTGAAGAACTAGACGGCTATCTGCAAGATATTGGGAATATCCAAGAGATCACAATTTTTGGGGACTGCACTTTTTGGGAAAGACTTGTATACAAGAGGAATAACTCTTTGCCAAATCAGCATATCTATAAGAGAAGATGACATTTTATATGCATACTTGGTCATTTCATCCCTGATTAACACACCCTCGGCTACCAAGAATTGTGCTAGTTGATCTTCTACGTCATTATAGATTGTTACAAAATCAAGAACTCCTGAGAACCTAGATTGAAGAAGATCAATAGCAGGCTTGGCATTCTTATCTTTAAGCATATCAATTATTTTATTGAAGGTAGAATATCCGAATATCTTCTTTTGCAATAGTTTTAAAGCAAATTTCAACCAGCTTGAAAAGCTAAGCTTGTCATCTCAATTTCCTCAACTAAATTATTTTGGATAGAACGTCCGCAAAGGCAGACGAGTCCAGCATGCCTGTCAAATAACAGAATCATAAGAAAAAATGAATTTTAGATTTTGATTTAACGTGACTCTCCAGTCAGCTTAACATACCTGGTTGTCTGGTTATAGATATCTTCAATAATCTTCAGATCAATGGTGAAATCGAATTCATTCACAAATTCATTATATATATAGGAACTGCACTTGATCCCACATAAAATTTGGGTTCTGGTATGACTGACTAATATTAAAGGGTGTTATCGCTTTTTTTGATTTTAGATAAAGAATACTGAAGGTGCCGATGGCGACAATAGACCACATAGCATAGTTATCTCTTAAGCTTATCATGCCATGAAAAGTTTTTAGACACGAGGATCTGACATCTTCATCCGCTTCATACAGTTTATCGAACTCATCAATGAGGAGAACAATTCATTTCTTCCATTTGCTTTGATCAAATGTTTTTTGAAAATCATCAGAAGAATTTATTTTCAAATCATCAGCAGACTCGAAAGAACTTAAAGATTTGAAATTGATGTGGACACAAGCATTTTGCTTGATGCAAGCGCTTAATGTCTTCCAAAACATCCTCAGATTGTATTTTAACATGCTTAAAACTTACACTATACCAAAGAAAAAAGAAATAGTAGCGATCAGTTAGATTGCATACAATGTAACCAGTTAGCGAATCAGAACTTACTAAAGGCAATTATAACCAGCATCCTTTAATATTTTTCTAAATCAGTGCACTCATGTAGATTTCCCCGATACCCATGCACCATACTAGAGAAAATTAAACAGGTCTCTTGTAGCGCAAATGCTATTTTGAGTCTCAATTACCAACAAAATCCAAAATATAATAAATTATGTGAATTCAATAACAAGTTCACTCAATGAAACACCATTCACGATCAGAGTCATGTGACTTTGAAAACTGCTCTCTCAGGAGAATGATCAAATTAAGGCTGAGATAAGTACATTAGCAATATATTACATCTCAATCTAATTCAACCTGTGACCGATCCTATTTTCACAACAAAGCATTAGATCAATATCCTACTTTATATAGAGAATTTAGTAGTGTCAATTTCAATTATTATGGAATTGCTGATGAGTCATCATGCCCATTATGCAAGTTAGATCATGATAATGAGGAAGGCCTAGAAGGTAAATATGAGGCTGGATCTTATTTTATTAAATTTGAACAGCGTGAAATTGGAATAACTGCATAGTTTCTTATTTAATTTGCTCACATTTCATTATGATATTTTTTTAGCACTAATTTATGTCAACTGTTACCTAATTTAAATTAATCTGTAATCACAACATGACCAAGTCCGATAAATATTAACTCCTGAATACCTGGATTGGCATGCCAAATTAAGTGGGTTACCAAGCATTTTGACAGATAACATTTATACCAATTTATACAAAAGATATAAAAAAAGAAACTGGAAATGAGCCATGGTAAGCCATGATAAGTATATAAGAAAAACCTCAAGCATCTGATTTCAAGCCTATTACCTTCAAAACCAAAACTGATTCAAAGTTAATTATCAAATCCGTGTTAGAGCATTTCACATACTCGAAATTCCAAAATAGTTTTAGAGGGATTGATAATTATAATTTTGTATCTGCTCAACCATGAAGTTCACCATGACCCATTTGTAATGGAAAACATGGGAATGGTACTGTGAAAATGGGAATCAACTCCTTATGATCCTGAATAGTGAAGTTGTATTTCCAAGATAAGTTGGAATATTGCCTTACCTGCAACACTTCAAGCAATAAACACAAGTTCACAATAGTAGCATAGGCCGGTCATGTGATATCGATTACTTGAAAATACGCAGAAGATATCAGAGAAATTCTTGCCAAATAATAGGGGCTGTGCGACACGCATTCTAAGATACAATTTGTATTTATTTTTTGCGTGTATTAATAAAGTGAGTCTAACATTGAATAATTCCTATTGTGAAAAAAATAATATCAGCCATATCAGTTAGCAAGGTAATCCATCAGAGCTTGATTTTTGAAATTTCGCATTGTTTATTAAATCAAACCCTAGTTTATCATATTCGAAAAGATTTAAACCTTTCACAGGATGATTAGAGCATCTAATAATGCATTGTGTTCTAATATTCCAAATGAATTAGATCTAGAAAATGTGACAAATAATCCATTTTTTGCTTGCTCAGATAAATTAGGAAGGCGCATGGTAAATAGTCTAAGAAGGATAAAACATTGATGAGCTTCCCGGTCTTGATAAAGCTTTTTCCAAGCATCTTCACCAAATCTTTTTTATTAACCCAAATTTACACTGGTGAGCATAATCTTTTGGAAATAGAGAGAGGCAAAATATGTAAAAAATGCATAAAAAACCGTCTAATATAGCCATTTTCCCACATTCGTCATTCCAGTGTAACTGGGCTCTGCCCAAATAATTTTGCTCTTTGAGCAGTCTCTGACTGATTACCACCGTATTATTACCGTCCTAGGACCAGAAACGATTAGTGAGCTTTTTTCCATAGCTGGAGAGATATTTACTAAGATATACTTATCTTTAATTTACGTCAAAAACCTCTTCACCTAGTTGAGCCAGAACAATTCTTTGAATCAGGCGCTAGAGCATAAGCAGTATCATGAATGTTTAAAGTGGATCGCATACCTTTTTTCAAATCATGTGGGTGGCAGCTTAGATATCGTGCACAGTAAAACATCATTTATTCTTCTTCGCAGTACATGCTATGCGCAGTAATTACACCACTATCAGTTGTGTCACACAAACCTGCATGATTGCATGATTATGTGACATATACGTTGGGTTGATGTCATATTTATCATATTTAATAGAAAATTTATTTCTCAAAAGAATGAGATTCCTAAAAAAAAAAATGTTCGAAAACCTGTCCATTTTGTCCAAAGGTATTAATATATTATTTCGTTTAAATAATATTTAAACTATTAAATGTACTGATAGTTAAACATTAATAGAAATTGCCGATGGAAATAACTATGATTTTGATGAATCTTAGGGTAGAATAATTCATCAAGTTCTTGAATTATTAATTCAGAGCAAAGTTGCATTATTAACAAAAGCTGACCCAGTTTCCTTCAACGATCCATATGACGAAGTATATGGTGACAAGGTCTTAACCTCTAAAGACCAAGATAAAAAAATAATTCTTCGTTATTCAAATGGCATTTTGGCACCTTACTATTCAAGTGGTGACAAAGAAGTGCACATTGCTATTAGCATCCCTGGGTGCAGAAAAAGGACAAACTTACCAATAAGATCTACTTGGTTGCAAAAGTAGGGAAATTCGTTGTTGGTATCGTCATCAAAATGTCCTCAGTTAATAAGTTAGTCGAACATCAGAAACATCAGATAAAAGATGTCAAAATGCCCTCGGTTAATAAACTAGTTGAACATCAGCAAACAAAAGAAAAATTGGTATCCCGCAAAGAAGTAATCAATATGCCCATTTACCAAAAATATGGTAAATATCCTCGGGCTTATACTACTGAAACTGAAATGTTGTGAAAGTTATTTGTCAAATTGTTTGATTATGAGAAAGCGCATTTTGGAATCACGTACAAATCTTTAGCAGATGACATTGGGCAATTGGGATTTAATATAACTAGTCAAATGTTGTCTAATTTTTATCATCATGTTTCAGCTCCTCAGTCAGGAACAAGAAAAGCTATTTGGGCTTGGATTAACTGTATTATTAAGGGCTATGTAACCAACCGTGTTTTATAAACCATGGAAAAGTTGTGGACAGTATTTACTAGGATATAATAGTTAGATCATTTGTTAACATACTGTAATACTCTTTTCTTTGGTACGATTTTGTTTACCATTTCTACGTAAATAAAATGAGTCTATAACACAGGTCGAAATGCTAAAAATCGGCAAAAAAAATGGCACANCGAAATGCTAAAAATCGGCAAAAAAAATGGCACAAAAAGCAGTGGCTATTCTTGGCTATTCTTGGCTATTCTTGGCTGTTTTTGGCTATTTGCAAATTAACCTATACTATTTGTAAATAGTTTATATAAATTTGCGAATAGTTTATGCAATTCTAGCCATTTTTTTTGCCTGTTTTTGGTCATTTGACGTGTGTAACTGAATGGCAGATCTAATTAATACATCTTTTCACATGAAGAATATATATTCATTACCACAATAGAAGGGATAAAGAATCAAAAATAAATATTAAAATTTTTGTGGAGAGTCTTTTATTCCCCCTACATAACTATACAACCATGTAACTTATAAGTTACTTTGAACCTAAAGAAATTGATATTTCGTTACTTCTATTGAAATTTTTTTTTAACAATGTCTAAATTATTATCCTTCTTAGCCGGTGAGTAATATCACAAGATGCTGAGCAATAGATATGTAGATGAGGTTTATGAAATTGAAGAACGTAAAAAATTAATGGATTAGAATTATGACTTCAAGTAAAATTTGTAAAGTAATGTACAGTACATATACAAAAAATTTTTAAATAAAAATACTCAATTTATTACTAGTATTAAATAAGCGATTTTATTTATAGATATTAAATATAAATTTAATAGTTTTATGAATGAAAACTCAGAATTATGGCTAATACATTTATGGAGTTTCATAGATATAAAGTGTGTTTGGAAAATAATAAAACTTTTTAGATTTATTATTAAAGTTTTACAGTAACAAAAACATATGGTTAGAATGGGTTCCAAATATACGATATTTTTATTTTAAGTTCAATAATTATATCAATAATAGAACAAAGAGATACTAAATCTGTTAATTCTATCAGTTATTTTTATTGTCAATGCCAGAGTTGATCTTTTTACATAAATGAAAAATTGAAAATTTTAAAAATAAGATTCAAAAACTTTTTTTTTCCAATAAAAGATTCAAAATAAAATAAAATAAAATAAAATAAATTTTCCTATTTATTGTTTTTAGTCAAGTCTTTCTCACTTGGAACTAACGCTGCAAAAAAGGAGCATAGCAAAATCTTTCATCGACATTATGTATGAAAAAAAAAATTTTAACAATGATAGATTCACAGAAATTATTATTATCTGTTATTGTCATTATTATTTTTAATTGCAGCACGTAACAAGATCCAATTTAATTTCTCGAAGTAGAATTCCCTTGGTTGCATTCTAAATAATTTTCTGTATTTCTTTATTTGCTTTTTAAATTGGAATCGTGTTTATATGATATACACGCTTTTTTAAATTAGATACAGCTCTATTAAGAAATAAATTATATGAAATCATTCACAACCTCGTAAATAAAGTTATGAAAATATCTGCCATTTGATAAGAAAAAATCAAGCCTCGATATAAACAATAATTTTATTTGGTGGTGACCAGAAAACCATCCATATTTTTATAAAAATTAAGTTAGAAAAAAAAAATTTGATAAATTTTTATAAAATAAAAAATAAAAAAATTTTGATAATTAATCCTTTGATACCCAGAAAACCATCCGTATTTTTATAAAATAAGTTAGAAAAAAAAATTTTGATAAATTTTTATAAAATAAAAAAAAAATTTTTTAAAAAATTTGGTCCAAAAACGGATTAGAAAAATAATTTTGATAAAATCCTTTGATACCCAGAAAACCATCCGTATTTTTAAAAATAGCTCAAGTCTATGGTTGCACCATATTTTATAAAATATATAAATAATCAATCCTTTGTTTTTGTATCCTTCGAATTTTTAGATATCATCTATCAAGATAGAAAATAGAAGGAACTTCTAATATTTTCATTTTGTCCTCAAATTAAAATCTTTCTTAAGTAAATAATTATTTTTTTATTTCATTATAACTATTGGAATTTTTGTGTTGTAAAAGTAATGAAATCGTCTAAAGTTGACTCTTTTTATCCTTTAAAGTTAGTCAATTTTCATAAATTTTTTATTCTATTTTTAATTTTTTTTTTTTTTTTTTTGAGTTGTTTTTATCTCAACAAAGAAAGTCCTTTTCCCCTGAAAATTTCTTAAAATCACGTATCCAATATTTTTATTATTTTTGAAACGCAATCTGATTCAAGTTTTTAAATTATTATTTACTTATTATTTATTTATCTATTTATTGATTTCGCAAATCAACTCACTTTAACCTTCTAAGCTAATAAAAAACTTTAATAATAATTTAAATAACAACAATAATTTTATTAACAAAGATAACTGATAAAGTAATTCTTTGTTATGCTTAATCCGATTTCACATGACACATAAACATATTAATATCACATGTTAGTAATTACAACAAAAAAATGAACTAGATAAATTTGTAGCAAATGAATAGATAGCATCTCAGCTGGCCGTCAAGGCAATACTCAATAAATGTACTTTTCTTTGCTTTTTTAAATGAAATTTTTTGCCACATTTTGATCAAGACAGTCAGTCCTTTCTGTGAACTCGTGTGTAGTATGCAGTATTACATGTATGTATGTATAAATTGAAAACTGAAAAATATAATTGCATCAGAGATAATGTATGTCAGCCAGAAAAAAAAACAATATTGGTTTAATGTAAGTGTACCATTAAACCATTGCTCATAATTTCATGATTTGCTTGCATATTATTAAACTACATATTTTGAAAACCAATCAGTAAATAATATTCCCAGACCAGTCAAAGTCATCGCAGTAGTCGGATCAATGTTAAATTTAATCATTAACCTTACAGCAATGCTACAAATAATTGTAGGAACCAATACAAGTATAAATCTTTTATTAAATCCTTTGGTATTATATAAAATTATATGAATGTCAATGCATTGAACGCTGTATGAAATTATAAATGAACCGATATCATATATATATTGGGTTGTTGGAATTGGATTTTATAACAATAAAAATAATGACAATAAGAAAGACCGTTAAATTAATAAGTAGTTTGATGATGACTTCCTATTAAAAAAATTGAGAAAACGTAGGAGCTGTTTGAAATGAATAACAATTTGTGGTAAATAACAAAACAAATAAACAAAATGAATCATACCCCTTTTTTATGTTCTCTCTTCATAGTTGTTCTCACTGTTGCTCTCAATGACTCAAGATAAGCTACCTTGCCTTCATGACTTGTAATACAATTGTAATACATGAGCGTTTCTGGTGCCAGACTGTCACGAAATGTCCTTAGTTCTTCCGTTAGCTCAGGAGTAACAGTAACAGTTGTGACCGGTGCGACAGTTGAGGTTGCTCTCACTGTTGTTCTCAATGACTCAAGGTAAGCTACTTTGTCTTCATGACTTGTAATACGGTTGTAATACATGAGCATTTCTAGCAGACTGTCACGAAATTCCTTAGTTCTTCTGTTAGCTCAGGAGTAGTTGTGGTAGTTGCGACCGGTGTGACAGAAGTAGTAGTGGTGACAGGTGCGACAGAAGAAGTATTTGTAGATGGCATTTCTGAAGGACAGAATGTTATTAGTAGACTTCACTAAAACAAAAAATTTATATATTTCCCTTACCAAATATTTTTTTGATTTGGAAGATTTTCATCAGATTTAAAATGACAAAAACTGAAAACTATCAAAAGTTTGAGGGTATATATATATTTTAATCTCGATATTAATTACCAAATTTGGAATAATCTTTCAACTTTTAAGGGCAGTAACATTTATTACATAATATTTTAGGTGGGGAGTTAAAAAAATTCTTACCTTACACCTATATATGATCATGTGACTTAATATTATAATTTGATTGGTTATACAAAATCTTACATTGGGGTGGGGTTTAATTAAACTGATATTACATAATATATGTCACTGCCCTAATCATAATACAATTTTTATGGTGTCAAAATGTCAAAATGACACAACTATCATCATCAGCTTGATTTCATCTTATTATAACTATAAAAAAAAAATGATCAGCATTATCAGATTGTATACATGTGGAAATGTGGAATAAGTTAATGTTACAATAAATTTAGGTTGTACAAGTAGTCGCTCTTCTTTTTACATCAAAATCACATTCATATAAAAAAATACATATTTAACATAACATACATTTGACCGTATTTCACTAATCGACTAATCAGAGTGGCAAATGTATCAGTGGCTTTTTTTATTAATAAAGCGCAGTAACGCTCTATGTTTTACTCTGGCTGTCATACTATTTAAACGTTATGGACTCGTTTAAAAGAAACTGATATTGCAGTTTGAAAGAAGTGTTGACGAGTTACTTCACAATTAAGGTATAAATATTTTGATCGTGGCTGTGCATTTTGCAATAAAACGCAGAGCTTGCAAAGCTAATATCTATTTTTTTGTTCAGAAATTTCGAGGACATTATTTAGCGGAAAATATAAACTTTCGGTGAGTTTTACCAAGGTCAATACTGTTAATTTATTTCTGACTCTGCAATGTTCTATGCATAACTGACAACCATTTTATTTTATCCAGAATACCGATGTTGGAGACAAATGAAATCAGATTGGAGTTGATGTTGGAATAATGCGTTAGTATATAGATAGCTTAGATGAACAAAATACCAGCAGGCATTAGTATAGAAACTCTATTTCACTTTGTAAAACAAGTTTATATTTATGTATTACTGAATCTTGTAATTTATTTTTTACATCAATAAATCAGTAATTCCGATGGGGATATTACCTTTTTTTATCTATGCTAACGAACTTTGAATTATTCCATCTTATATAAAAAATTATTATCAAACATGCAATCCATTGATTCACTGAGAGAATTAAATTCCAAGCTCTTAGCTGAGATTGCAGAGCTTAGGAAAAAGAGTGCTGAGATTCCTGAACTTAAAGAGAAGTTACTAAAGTTTGCCAAGATTGAGGCTGGAATGCGAAGTTGAGGCAGATTATTGAGGAAAATGCAAAGCATGATGCTAAAAATGCCAAACACAAGGTCAAAATCGAGGAATTGGAGAAAAATAGTGCAGAAATGCTGAGCTTAAAGCTGAATTAGCCAAACTAATACATAATTTCGATTTCTCCAATTTCACAAGGCCTCAGCAACCACAGCACGTTACTAACATGCAGAACTTATGCTCTGCTAGAGAAAAAGAGATATCGAAGGTAACAACTACCACAGCTGGATGCTTCTTATCCTGTAATAGATCAGCCTATAAATAGAGCAACTAGTGATAACACAAACATCAAGTCAATAGAGGAAAGGGAGACGGACATTTTCTTAGTTGAGGTGTATAAGAAAAGTGTTAGCAATGAGATTTGGCAGAAGAATAGGGAAAAGAAATTATTGCATGAATCAGCTATCCAGGACTCATCTTCTGTAACGAAAAAATCTCAATCACATAAGAAGAGGGAAGCAGAGAATATTGTACAGAATGTGTTTGATTTCACCACTTCGGCACCTGAGAAAAATCATGAGACTGAAATTTCCATGACGGGCCATCATGAAAAATCTGATACAGATGATCCCCAAGTATATTGCAAAATCTAGCCTGCTTAATACAAGAAGCATGGGATGCAAAAGATGAAGTGATTCGAGTTAATCAAAAAGAATTATTGTGTTGGTGTTTCTATATTATAGAATTCGATAAAAAGACTGTAGAGTTTATGAACGAGTATAAAGTTGGCAAGAAAAAAGCAAAAGGTATGATTTATGACAATCTTACTAAACTCCTTCCTCCTAGTACTAAACGCAACACAATACTAAAACAAACTCAGAGAGCAAGAAGCTTATTTGAGAAAATAGGAATTGATAAGATCAAGTATATCACAACGTATAGTGCAAATTCTATATCAGAATTATCTGATAGTCAAATTCAAACTATTATTGATTATTTCTCCGAAAATCCCAACACTGAGTTATCAAATGGGGTCTCAAAGGGACCTGATCAGGATAGCCCTATTATCGATTCTGAAGAGGAGATTTTGAATCATCAGGATAATATATTAGAGGAGCAAGCAAAGCCCTTAGTTTCAGCAATACAGGCTAAGGTAAATAACTACGATGATGATGTGTATTTTGATGAGGTGAATGATGTAGTCTCTTCAGAACCAGATAATACGCACGTTTGCTATTCCAAATCATATACAGTCAAACCTTTATATAATGATATATCGGAACATATATGAAATTTTTAGAAAATATCGTTATATCAAAGTTATACCGATATTTATATGTCTTCACATATAGTGGGAAAATAAAATTTTATCAGTATATCAAGTTTTTAATAGTATATCGGTATATCAAATATCGGTATATCGAGGTTAGACTAATGATAATCCAGATTCCGATGATTCTGAAGAAGAGATGCCAGATGAATCGGATGATAGATACGGTGAATATAATGAATATAGTGAACGTGATAGAGGTTATTACTATCGTGATGGAAGATGCGAAAGGAGAGGGTCCCCAATGATGAGTCCTATTATCTCTCTGGTAACTGCCTAGAAGAACCACTGGACTCCACAACTTTCTGTATCACTTCTAGAAGAATTATTGGGTGAATCAATTACTGAATTATGCGAAATCGTATATCTTTTTTCGAATCACATAAGTGGCTTAGCCGAGCATATATCATGCGCAGTAAGTAAGTACGTCATCACTATACTTCTCTGCAGTAATATGTTATTGAATTATATCTGCAGTCGTTATTTTTAGAGGATCTATTAATTACCCGCCAAGAGATATTTTTGTATTGCTATAGTTCATGTACTCGTCGGGCAGTCTCCGACTCATAAAGGGATCAGAAACTAAAACTATTCATACTTGAGTTGCAGACATTTACAATTTTGGCACAGAATAACGAGTGCCAAATTATCAATTAATTACACAAATTGTGAGAGTTTACGTAAGTTAAGAAGAAATTTTTTATTTTGAATTTATGCTTATAGTATTAAGTATTAACAAAAGTTTTTTATATTGATTTATATTCATCAGAAAGTCACGGGAAAAATGTTTATTACATGTACATTTTTGTAGATCATGTATATTATAATATTCATTATTTTAAATGAACATGTAATATTTAACATTAATGAGCATCATCAATGAGATTTTTATCATGATGTGCAGCATTTAATAATAAATATTCAATGTACATATCTTTGCTATAATATTACTAACAAGTAAATTTCCACAGTTAGTATTGATCAGTATCACGTGATCAGTTTGCCGATCGATCTTTTTTTTTTGATAAAAAAAAGTTTAATAAAAAACTTTAAACTTCTTTCTTTCCCTTTCTTTTACTTCCCTTCATCCCCTTATCCTTTCATCCTTCTCCTATATCCTTCTCTTTCTTTTCATCCTTCCCTTCCTTTTTGTTCTCCCCTTTTCTCACACCTGTGAGTTTCGTTACTTTTTTTTAATTCATTTTTTTTTTATTTATTTATTTTTTTTTTAATTTTATCTTTTTTTTTCGTTTCTTTTCATTATTTTATTTTTTGTAGGCTGTTTACTAGGAGGACACCAGCTTGAATACAGGACCCCGGATATCTCCAAAACAGGTCATAAGTCACACTTTCGGCAGATTGGCCCATTTTTCAGGGGTTCAAAAAATCGTTTTTTGTAAATATCTCGGCATCCAGTGGTCCAATTTTGATGAACTTTTTTTTAAATTGTAGAGCTAAATGAGGGCTACAAAATAAAAAAAAGTTCATTAAAATTGAATTACTGGATGCTGAGATATTTACAAAAAACGATTTTTTGAGTTTCAGCAAAAAGGGGTCTTTTTGGCCAAAAGTCCATTATGACCTTTATATTAGATATCCGGGGTCCTTTGAATACTACAAAACTGGACTTTAAGGTAGTAAGAAACTGGAAAGGGGATATTTTAAATTTAAGAAATGAACTAACGTTTCTTTTTGTTATTTTATTTTTTGTAGGACTAGGAGGACGCTGGCTTGAATACTATGAAACTGGACTTAAAGTAAGAAATGGGGGAAAGGATGACCTTTTCTTTTTATTTTAAATTTAAGAAATGAACTAATGTTTCTTTTCATTATTTTATTTTTTGTAGGATGCGTAGGAGAATGCCGGCTTGAATACAAAACCAGACTTTAAGGTAATAAATGAGAGAAGGGTGATTTTTTATTTTAAATTTAAGAAACGAACTAACGTTTCTTTTTGTTATTTTTTTTGTAGGACAGAGGACGCCAGCTTGAATACTACGAAACCGGACTTTAAGGTAGTAAGAAATGGGATTTTTGTTATTTTTACTAATTTAAGAAACGAACTAATATTTCTTTTCATTATTTTATTTTGTAGGACGCGTAGGAAAATGCCAGCTTGAATACGAAACCGGACGTCAAGGTAAAAAATGGAGGAAGGGTGATTTTAAATTTAAGAAATGAACCAACATTTCTTTTCATTGTTTTTTTTGTAGAACGCGTACTAAGAGGATGCCGGCTTGTTCACGAAACTGGACTTGTTTAAGGTAAAAAATGGTGAAAGGGAATTTTTAATATTTTGAAGTTAAGAAACGATCTAACGTTTCTTTTTCATTTTTTTTTTTGTAGGACGCCGGCTTGTTTACAAAACCGGGTTGGTTTGTCTTTTATAAAGCTATATATTAAATAACACAAGAAAAGAATATACAAGATAATAATTGATATGAATATAAAGTGATGGAAATGCTGTAATGAGCGTGACTCATGTATCATAATTAATATAGGTTAAATAAACAACAAAAGGGACTGTTAACTTTTAAAAAAAAATTTCAGGCCCTTTTTATTATTAATTGGCGTAGTATTTTTACACAAGATAGAGTGATTGCATTGTAAAATATCAATAAGAAAATAATACATTGGATTTTAAGGTAAAAAACTGGGAAAGGGGGATGGAAGGATGGAAGAAGGGGATTTTGCAAAGAGGAACTAAGATTCGTAAGAATCTTGGTTTTATTTATCTATTTTTATTATTTTGGAATGGTTACTAATAACCGTTCTTTTCTTTTTGTTTAGGTTCGGGTGGGCTTTCGAGTTCCGAAGAACGGAAACCCAAAGATTCGTAAATACGAATCTTTTTTATTTTTTATTTTTTATTTTATGGAACGGTTTACTAACCGTTCCTTTCTATTTTTTATAGGTTTGGTGAGCTTCCGACAAATGGAAACCAAGATTCATAAGAATCTTGGTATTTTTTTTTATTTTATGGAACGGTTTACTAACCGTTCCTTTCATTCTTTTATAGGTTCGGTGGGCTTCTGACGAATGGGAACTAAGATTCGTAAGAATCTTAGTTTTTATTTATTTTTTTTATTATTATGGAACGATTTACTAACCGTTCCTTTCTTTTTTTTATAGGTTCGGTGTCTCAGGGCTTCTAAAGAATGGAAAAACCTAAAGATTCGTAAGTACGAGTACGAATCTTTTGGATTTTTTTTTATATTTTTTAATATTACAAACGGTTACTAACCGTTCTTTTTCTTTTATTTTTTATAGATTCGGGTGGTCTTCTGAAGAACGGAAAACAATAAACTGAGGTATCATAAGTATTTTACTACGAACCTTAGATTTTTTTTAATATTACGAACGGTTTATTAACCGTTCTTTCTTTTTTTAGAGGATCGGATGGATTTTCGAAGATTGGAAAAAGGAGAAACTAAGGTTTATAAGTATTATATTATGAACTTTAGATTTATTTTTTTTTAATACTATGAACGGTTCTAACCGTTCTTTATATTTTATTTTATAGGTTTCAGGTGGGCCTCCAATCTTCGGATAAAGTGGAACCAAGATTTGTGAGTACGAATCTTGGTTTATTTATTATTATTATTATTTTTTTAATATTATGGAATGGTTACTAACTGTTCTTTTTCTTTTTTTTAGGTCTTAGATGGATTTCTGAAGAGTGAAAAAAGAAGATCAAGATTCGTAAATACGAATCTTAACGAAACGGATTGGTAAGTTTCAAAGTTTCACTTCACTTCGAAACTTTTTTAAAATTTTTTTTTAAATTAATTTTTATTAATACTCTTTTTAACTTTTTGTTTCAAAGAATAACTTTGAAACTTTTTTGTAGGTCTCCTGGAGTATTTGGTTAATTTAACAAGGCCTACTAGTATCTTTTTTTTTGTTTTCTTTAACGGTTGTTATTTTTAATAATAGAATAGATTGTTATAGTGTATTTTAATAAAATAAATTCAGTAATATTTAGTATTGTCATATCATTAACATAATTTATATAAATTTGATATGATGTTTATTATCTTTAAAATAATGTACATCATTAATGGACATTAAAATTAGGTGATGCACATCAAATATTGTGACATCGGTAGTACATTGCAGGGTCCGATGTTTAGCGTTTCTTTATGATGTATATCAAGTGACCGATGTACATTTGATGAACATTTTTCTTATGACTTCCTAATGTTAAAGAGTTGAGACTTGAAACTAATACCTGTAAAACTGATCAACCGCCTTGGAGATTACCAAAAATTTAGTCACGATTGAATATCTTCAACGTCTCTGAGAGTGTGACGATATCTAAAAATCTTCTTACTCTTTACGCTAGTAATCATCTGGCCCTAATCCCTTCACAAGAGAAAAATTATCTAAAATAAGCTGATATTTTATTCTGATTAAATTATTTTTAATTACAACTATTGATTCTTAACGTACTTAATTTGATTTTATGATGTTTAACATAATAATCTCTTCCATTAAAAGAAAATCTGCAGTATTATATTTAAAGAAGAATGGATGGAGTGCTTTTGTTGCAAAAAATAAGATATGCAATAATAAATTAATCATATTAAATAGTTATAGATTTTATATCATCCTTGACAAGACCACTGTCTTTGGAGCATAAATACTCTGTGTGATGATAATTCAATTGATTCAAATTATTTTTAGACAGATATGAAATTCAAAGTTCCAGACTTCCAACATTTGATTGAGTTATTTACATTTCAATATATTATGTTCTTATTCAAATATTGCAATTAAGTATAATTCTAGAAATAATAGAAATATTTAAATATTAAGAACATGCATTTGTTAATCATGCAGGTTATGTAATAATTATAAGAATATATGTGATGGAGAAAGTTATAGCTGATGATGACGTTGATGACAATGATGATAGTAATGATTATTATGATAATTATAAATTATACAAAGAACAGCTTATAGAAAATGATTTCTCAGGATTGTAGGATAAGGATTACCAGTCGTTTGATGGTAATTACTATTCTACAACTTTATTAATGAATTATGACTGTCTTATTGCCTTTAAATTCTAAATTAATATTAGAATGGTAAGTTATTTTTTTCTTTTTGCAGTATATCATTCACTTGCTAATTAACAATATTTTCTTAAAATAGCCTATGTTATCCATTCATTTGTCATTAAAGATGATAATACAACTTACTATTTCATTTTTTTTTTAGTTGTATCGTGAATATCAGATCCGATTAGTAAATTTTTGTTCCAACTGTAGATAATATACACTAAAAATTTACTTATCTTTAATTTAACATTCTAAACTATAATCAGTATCATAGATGGGTATTTGCATAAGCAAACTGGTCATGTAAAGCTTGTACCGGCTAGTAAAATCAATTTTGTTTAACATTTAGCGTACCATATCATAAAGCTCCGAATGGGTCGGTTTGGTCCGGATTATAGACGGTTCGGATTAGAGCCGAAATCCGTAAGAACCGAACCGAAAAACCGGCGGTTCGGTTCGGTTTAATCCGATTTTTATAAAAATGCGAAAAATCGAATAGCCGGCTATCTAGTGATCGTATAAATTCGAGCCATATATTATTGGATTCGTCTCGACGAGACGCGTCGAATGGAGGTAAGATCATGTCTCTAGCATCGATAGATCACATGTTAACCCACGCTAAATGATTTATAAATAATTGGAATTAGCAAGCTATCTATCTGTGTTAGAGACATGATCTTAGCACCATTCGACGCGTCTCAGTGAGACGAATCCAATGAATATAAAATCGTTCGTGTACGACTACTGGATGGCGAATTATATCAAGTTTCGCATTTTTTTAAAATTTTAGAGCGTTAAAAATTAAAAATTCTGATACATGAATTTATTCGTCGTCCAATGGTCGTATAAATATGAATTAGGACTCATTGGATTTGTCTCAATGAGACGAGTCGAACGGTGGTGAGATAATGTCTCTAGCATCAATAGATCGTACGTTAATTCACGCTAAATGATTTATAAAAAATTGGCATTAGCAAGCTATCTATCGATGCTAAAGACGTGATCTTACCACCATTCGACTCGTCTCATTGAGACGAGTCGAATGAGTCCTAATTCATATTTGTATGACCATTGGACGACGAATAAATTCATGTATCAGAATTTTTAATTTTTAACGCTCGAAAATTTAAAAAAAATGCGAAACTTGATATTATTCGCCATCCAGTGGTCGTATACAATCGAATTTATATTCATTGGATTCGTCTCACTGAGACGCGTCGAATGGTGCTAAGATCATGTCTCTAGCACCGATAGATAGCTTGCTAATCCCAATTATTTATAAATCATTTAGCGTGGGTTAACGTGTGATCTATCGATTCTAGAGACATGATCTTACCACCATTCGACGCGTCTCGTCGAGACAAATCCAATGATATATGGCTTGACTTTGCACGATCACTAGATGGCCGACTATTCGATTTTTCGCATTTTTATAAAAAATCGGATTAAACCGAACTGAACCGCCAGTTTTTCGGTTCTAATACCCGAACCGAACCGAACCGAATTTTGAGCCAGTTTCGGATCGGTTCCCCGGTTTAGCCCGAACCATTCGGAGCTTTACCATATCATGGAGTTATGCTCTTATGTTCCTAGATGGATCTCAGTATTGACATAGTCCGCAGTACAGTACACATGAAGGTGGCTTATACAAAATCTACCACAGTTCGTACACCCTTTAATATAACGCTTCTGTAGTATCCGCACATGACTAGGCTACACTGATCTTTTTTAGTATCAAATTATATGTTTGTGATAAGATTATGAATAAATGAATTTGTCAGAGTTTAGTTTTTGATCTAGCTAGCAAAATATTTTTTTTCATTTAACGGAAAAGGTCCAAGCAAAAGCAGTATTAAACATATTTCAGTTATATGACTTACCACAGTACTGGCATGTAATTACTCCTTTGGGATAATATGAGCAAAAGAATACATGAAAATGGGCTTAATCTATAAAATAATGTCTGACAAAATTCCTTCCAATATTAAAATAGTCAGCTTTCCATGTCAAAGCCTTTTTGGATTCTAAAAAGAAGACTCAGATTTTACTCAGGTAGATACTAAAAAAATTTATGAAAAAATCTACTTCGGAGGCAGAGCCTAGGCAAGACTACAAAAGTAGATAGGAACTCATATTTATGATTAACTCATGACAAACTTTCACAGCTTTTTAGTATGGATTATAATGCAGTGGACTCTATTATGGAATTTGTCCAACCACTTTGTAATCAGAATAGCAGTAATGTGGAGAGAAAAATGGACGTATTAAATTTCCAAGGTGAATAACAAGTTGTATGCGTTTCCAAATAGGAAAGAAATTACTGATTTTTTTTAACTGCATGAGCATTTCTTCTACACAAAGTGTACAAGGTCTTACTATTGAATCGCCAAACAAGTTAAATCCAATATCTCTTTGCACAATTTGTTTCATATTGTGCCTAGGACTCCATTTTTCTATTACAGGGAGTCAAATGTTGGTGCAATTTATTACGCATGTAGAATTAAGAAGGTTGATGAAAATGGGCATATTTTTATCTCTCCATCTATTTCTGGTACGAGATGGAAAAACTCTTGGATCAATTCGTTATCTAGTAAAAGCTAATAAGAAAATATTGAGAAACGTATTTTTATGTTATATAAAATCATAGTATTAATAAAGCATACGCTCAACTAGGTAGGCTTTAGTCATATATTTCTGGTATTACTATTGAGCACAATACATTTATCAAATGAATAGTGTAAGAACATATTTTGCTCCAACAGATGATGTGACAGAGGCAACCAGTTAGTTTTCAGTTCAGAAGAAATGTGCCGTATAAATTATATGAAACAAGTTATCATCTGCATTATTCTGAATGATTCTAAGTTATTTCGTAATGTTTACTTAATCTCATCTGATATGATTATATGTTAGTGCGATCACAAGAAAAACTATTGAATTACCACTTTTATCGTGTAGAACAAGAAATGATTAACGTTCCCTTCTAATTTATTTTGTGTACATGATATTGTTTCGCTATTCTTATATGATATTTGTGTCTGTGATGGCAAACGAAAATGTATTACACAGTCTTGTTAAACATCTGAATCACTAAAAAAATATACCGTTGTACATTAGTATTTCATAAACATATTGAGGACAATGCACCAAAATTTGTGTTATGTGTATACGCATTCACATTAACCTATTCCAAAAGAGGAAACAATTATAACAAGAAAGTTATTAACTTTCCAGGAGGCAAAGCTCAACATCCTTCACCATTGGCTTTTTGTCGTTTCAAACGATTATATCCTAAAATGTAAACCAAATTTGTGCTAAAAAATGGTCAATGAATTATGCACAATTGATACATATATTATCGCTTGACATATTTCCATATCTTTTATTATACTCTATTTGTTATAAACAGTTTATGTAATTATTATGTAACCCATCATCACAATTGCGTGTTGTCTAACACCCCTCAAAGAGAAAAGAAAACAGTTATAAACGAAAATCTAAAAAGTATGTGAATAATCTAAAGAGAAGATCCGTTGGCCATGTGCAGAAAATTTGGAATCTTGGGGGATGAATTTGTATAAAGAGACAAGTAAACCATATTGATGTATTGTATTGAGCGCTTTAAATTTTTCCATTTCTATGTAATGTCGAGAATCCAGTTTGCGTAACAAAAATTTCATCTCTGATGTACCAGATCCCATTTTTTTATACATCATCAATGAAGTGACACTAAAGTTTTTGACAATTCTTATTTAAATGGAGTATTCACTTTCTTCAGAATCAGAAACAGTAGACTCATCATTATCAATACTACTAAGTGTTTCATTTACTTCAGAAATATTTGGTCGTTCATCTGGTTCTTGTTTCAAACATTCTATTCAAATAGACAAAAATCAGCGACAAGAAAAATAAAATTATACTAGAACAAACGGAATCATAGTTCTGAAGTTAATTTTACACTTACTTTGATAAAGTACAGTGAATTTATCATTCGTGTTTGGTACAGCCGCTCCAAGCATAATATAATTATCTTCAGGACTATCAATAAGTAATGAGCTGCTGGCCAACTTCCAGAATAAAACTCCCAAATAATATATATCAGATTTCTCGTTTAACTTATACAGAATTGTTTTATCGTACATTTTAGGATCCACATAAGGTACTACTCCCCATACTTCAGTATTATTATCACCCTTTCCTTTTTCAAAAGAACGTCCAAAATCTGCCAATTTTATTGTGTCCCTATGTAATAGAATATTATTGGGATGCTAAAAAAGAAGGCGTTAGTTACACATTAAATAGTGAATAGTTTATTAGGTAGATGTTCAAACATTACAATTATACTTACAAGATCCCCATGTACTATACTCTTATAATCGTGCAACCATATAATTGCACTTATAATTTCTCTTGCAAACCTTAGTTGGCTATTCCATTTGACAATATTATTCCTTAGATGATCTCTTAGTGTCCCACCTTCCGCATATTCGAGAATAAGCGAATACATTTCCTCACCTAAAGAGAATTAACGTCAACAAAAAATATTATAGGTTTATCGCAAAATTTCTATATTACCTTCTAATTTAGTAACTCCATAGAATCCGATTATATTTGCATGATGGTTAACCATTTTTGTTAAATAAACCTTGAGGCAAGTTATATATAAATAGTAAATATACAAGTAATACAAAAAATATTATCAACATCAGGAAGTCACGGGAAAAATGTTCATCAAATGTATATCGGTCACTTGATGTACATCATAAAGAAACGCTGAACATCGGACCCTGCAATGTACTACCGATGTCACAATATTCGATGTGCATCACCTAATTTTAATGTCCATTAACGATGTACATTATTTTAAAGATAATAAACATCATATCGAATTTATATAAATTATGTTAATGATATGACAATACTAAATATTACTGAATTTATTTTATTAAAATACACTATAACAATCTATTCTATTATAACCGTAAAAGAAAACAAAAAAAAAGACAGTAGGCCTCGTTAAATTAACCAAATACTCCGGGAGACCTACAAAAAAAGTTTCGAAGTTATTCTTCGAAACTTTGTCCAGAAAGTACAACCTAACAATAAAAAGTTAAAAAGAGTATTAATAAAAAATTAATTTAAAAAAAAATTTTAAAAAAGTTTCGAAGTGAAGTGAAACTTCAAAACTTACCAATCCGTTCCGTTAAGATTCGTACTTACGAATCTTGTTCTTCTTTTTTCACTCTTCGGAAATCCACCCGAGACCTAAAAAAAAGAAAAAGAACGGTTAGTAACCGTTCCATAATATTAAAAAAAAAATAATAATAATAAATAAACCAAGATTCGTACTCACGAATCTTGGTTCCGCTTTATCCAAAGATTGGAGGCCCACCCGAAACCTATAAAATAAAATATAAAGAACGGTTAGAACCGTTCATAGTATTAAAAAAAAATAAATCTAAGGTTCGTAATATAATACTTACGAACCTTAGTTTCTCCTTTTTCTGTTCTTCGGAAATCCACCCGATCCTCTAAAAAAAAAGAAAGAACAGTTAATAAACCGTTCGTAATATTAAAAAAAATCTAAGGTTCGTAGTAAAATACTTACGATACCTCAGTTTATTGTTTTCCGTTCTTCGGAAGACCACCCGAACCTATAAAAAATAAAAGAAAAAGAACGGTTAGTAACCGTTCGTAATATTAAAAAATATAAAAAAAAACCCAAAAGATTCGTACTCGTACTTAAGAATCTTTAGGTTTTTCCATTCTTCAGAAGCCCTCCCGAGACACAGAACCTATAAAAAAAAGAAAGGAACGGTTAGTAAACAATTCCATAAAATAAAAAATAAAAAATAAAAAAAGATTCGTACTTACGAATCTTTGGGTTTCCGTTCTTCGGAACTCGGAAGCCCACCCGAACCTAAACAAAAAAAAAAGAACAGTTATTAGTAACCGTTCCAAAATAATAAAAATAGATAAATAAAACCAAGATTCTTAAGAATCTTGGTTCCTCTTTGCAAAATCCCCTTCTTCCATCCTTCCATCCCCCTTTCCCAGTTTTTTACCTTAAAATCCAATGTATTATTTCCTTATCGATATTTTACGATGCAATCACTCTATCTTGTGTAAAAATACTACGCCAATTAATAATAAAAAGGGCCTGAAATTTTTTTTTAAAAGCCTTTTGTTGTTTATTTAACCTATATTAATTAAAGCCAGCGTCCTACAAAAAAAAAATGAAAAAGAAACGTTAAATCGTTTCTTAACTTCAAAATATTAAAAATTCCCTTTCCCCATTTTTTACCTTAAACAAGTCCGGTTTTGTGAACAAGCCGGCATCCTCTTAGTACGCGTCCTACGAAAAAAAAACAATGAAAAGAAACGTTAGTTCGTTTCTTAAATTTAAAATCACCCTTCCCCCGTTTCTTACCTTAAAGTCCAGTTTCGTATTCAAGCCAGCATTTTCCTACGTGTCCTACAAAATAAAATAATGAAAAGAAACGTTAGTTCATTTCTTAAATTAGTAAAAATAACAAAAATCCTGTTTCTCACTACCTTAAAGTCCGGTTTCGTAGTATTCAAGCCGGCGTCCTCCGTCCTACAAAAAAAAACAACGAAAAGAAACGTTAGTTCATTTCTTAAATTTAAAATCACCCTTCCCTCGTTTCTTACCTTAAAGTCCGGTTTCGTATTCAAGCCAGCATTTTCCTACGCGTCCTACAAAATAAAATAATGAAAAGAAACGTTAGTTCATTTCTTAAATTAGTAAAAATAACAAAAATCCCGTTTCTCACTACCTTAAAGTCCGGTTTCGTAGTATTCAAGCCGGCGTCCTCCTAGTCCTACAAAAAATAAAATAACAAAAAAAAACGTTAGTTCGTTTCTTAAATTTAAAATATCCCCTTTCCAGTTTCTTACTACCTTAAAGTCCGGTTTCGTAGTATTCAAGCCGGCGTCCCTGTCTCTTATACACATCTAGATGTGTATAAGAGACAGACATGATACTGATCAATACTAACTGAAATTTACTAGTTAGTAATTATATTTTTATTATAGCAAAGATATGTACATTGAATATTTATTATTAAATGCTGCACATCATGATAAAAATCTCATTAATGATGTTCATTAATGTTAAATATTACATGTACATTTAAAATAATGAAAATTGCGATGTAAATGATTTGCAAAAATATACATGTAATGAACATTTTTCCCGTGACTTCCTGATGAAAACCGTAATACACCTCCTTATTGTCAACAAATTTTTTAACTGCATATTTTGTTGGTGTATTATTCCATTTTGCTACATAAACAGAAGCAAATCCTCCAGTGCCAATATCCTTGAAATGGATAAGATCATGAGAATAATAGTGCTCAATACTATTATTCTCTAATAATCTATTTAGCTCATTGGTATAATGATCTTCAGGATGTGACTATTATTGGCATAATGGCGTTTTTGTTTTTGGATATGTTTGGAAATGTTGAAAGAAGATTTAGTCGGCTGATTTGCTGTGTAGCGTAAAAAAAAAACCATTTTGATATAAATATCAGCTTGTTCTCTTTGTGGTGCAGTAGTTTTTTGTTCTGGTTCAGTTTTTGAACCAAGAAGTTAATCTTTTAAAGGAAAACACAATAAAGGTAATATAACACCAAAACGAAGTTTGTATTGGTAGGATAAAAGGAACGAACTGTGCCGTTAGGTGATGAGAAATGTAAAAAGGTATTATATCTTTCATCTTTGAGCGTCAAATAAATTTACAAAAAATGACTTGGAAACTTTACTATAGTAATAATGAGAGAAAGGAGGCAAGAGTTCGAAATCATAAAACTTGTAAGATATGCTTTAACTTATTTGTATACAGTGGCACCAAAAGTAATTAGATGTTCCCAAATGAAACGTTACAAAAAATCATTGTCCACTAACATTTGTCTCCGCAGTCGATATTGTAATACTTGATAGATTAGTAAAAAAATAGTTGTACCTTATGAGGTCAACTTCTAACTTGAACGAAAATTGGAAAGAAGATATTAGCTTAGTATTTTAGATGTCTCTGCTATTTCGTTCATGTGCACGAATAACAACCGTAAACTATGTGGAATAAAAAATTATGTCAGGATTTCCTGGTGCAAAGCACTCCCTGAAGGGACTTAATGTCCGGATATGTCTATTCCTCCATTGGCATTTTTAATGACAATGACATCAGGCATTCATTTCTTGTAAATTAATTCACAAACTATAGATTTGCGAATATCAAAGTAAACTTTATTAAAACAAACTTGTATATGATTATTATTTCAACTTCGCACCCGCAGCATCATTGGCGAAGTAATACTTAAATGGTAATCCATAGATTATATTAATATCGGAGTGATACCAATAAGGATGAAAATCCCAAAGTGATTGATAGTCAATCTTTCGGCTATAGGTAAATGCCAAACCCAAATGGTGATCTGTTTCGATTACTAATGATTACCAACCAACTATCACTGTTTCTCTATCCTTTTCTGCATTTTTATCATTTTTGACCCCTTTGATTTCTTATATAAGTAACTGTTTGTTAGTATGATACAGGAATACATGTAAGAAATTAAACATTGAAAAAAAATATTCAGTGAGTACTATGTGTTTACAGCAACGTAGATTCTTTTTATTACTCAAAAAAATGTGCACTTCTTTTTGGTATCTCATGTGTAATAAAGGAAAAATGGCAAGTGTACGTAGAATAGATGAAGACATTTTAACATTCAATATTCTTTCCTTATACGGAGACTCTCAAAAAATTGATAGGAACAAACTTTTTGGAGTCATGATGGTGAGAGACAAACAAGTTGACTTTCTTAGACCTTTAATTAGAGAACGATTAAGTCCCAATTCTTATTATAATGTCCTTAGCAACGAATTGGTTCTTTTCAAACTGAATGATCAAGTCACTACAAAAAATATCAACTATTATCTCTCCAGCAATAATTTGAACGTGGATAAAATGGAACCATTGGAACTCATATCGAAGTATTTCTCCAAAGACGAGTTTGGTAGCAAAGAGCATATCCACATAATCGTTAGTTGTATGTAACAGGAATTTTTAAAAATCAGTAATAAATACCATTAGATCAAGTTTATTACGACAACTATTCATTATTATGAAATTTGGTGTGCTGTTTGTACAATATGGTGAGAGAATTTTCCACATAGGTATTATTATTAACAATAAAGAATTGCCAGTAAAGAAACAAAAATCACAAGAATACTCTTTTTTCTTATGTTTCGGCCAGTTTTTACTGTATTAAGAATATCTCATGCCGCAAATGGCCTCATCCTATTCAATTTCCACAGGAATCTCCTTCAGGAATTTGTTATCATCAACTTTAGTATTGACTTACGAGCCATTTCTGCTTTTTGAGAACACATCTGTTAGGATTATTTAATAGAAAATATAATGAGTGACCACATACGGTAGTTGTTACCTTATATTTTCCCTGTACATTCGATTCTAATTGGTGCTTACAAAAAATATCTTATATTTCGTACTTTCATTTGCTAGTCGCAATGTCATGGGCTCTTCGGTAGTATATAACAGACTATTCCTACTAATCTTGAGTTTTGATCTAAGAAGTGATTCATTTTTACACTACAATAGTAATAAAGTATTTATTTGATTCGATTGTTAGCTGAGTATGTACAGTATATAATGTATTTTATGTATGATGTTAATCCCTTATCAAATAAAAAATTGTATGCAAACAAAGTGAGATCACTTTATCGATGAGTCAGTAACTGGTGAAATATGGTTAATAATTAGTGGCTAAAGCCATTTAGTAGACATGGCCTATGTTATTTGATAGAAGAATGCTTAGGAGCACATGACATAGGACTCTCGGGTATCGATATCAGTCGGAGACTGCCCAAAGATACATGTCCAATGTCTTTCATAATATAATATGTGTTAGCGAATAAAAAAATAGTAACCCAAAATTAGAATGATTTTTGAGAATGCAGAAATACAGAACTTGTTGTATAACGAAGTAATATATCGATCATTTATATATCAAATGCAAGGGCGTAGCAAAATTAAATCTGTGTAGTACACTATTCAAAATACCACTAACTACGAGATCGTGATCTCAGGTCACAGTTATCTTGTTTTTGAATTTTATATGCGCCGTCCCAATGTATTATTGACACAAGAATTAAAGGAAACGTGCTATCACATGATACTCTGAACTGACTGTCTTGCCACTCAACCTGACCGTCTTGCCCTACCCTTTGACGTCAAGTAGACAAATAGTTAATAGACCTCAGTTTATGTGCAAGATCGTATATCATCTTTACGACCGATTAAAAGAAAATGAAATAAGTGTATGTTTGTTAGTGGAGGAGATTGTAGGATCGCTACCAATCCCTTGAAATCAACATTTTCATTTTGTATTCAGGACGGATAATTATATTTTTTCATGGTCTTTACTCATTCCATAATAACATGCTTAAATTATATCATATTCTTTACGTTTGCATTTTTATGGCGGTCACAAAACAACTACGTGGATCAGTATTCGTGATAAAATACTATGGACAAGAAATCATGAGAAAGGAAATCACTAAGACTTTATATCATGATCTTTTGTTATGGCCGTCGCCTAGCAATTATTTTTTTGTTCAGTATTTACAATAACTTAGACAGAATTGAAATTCATGCTTCGTACAAAAATTTAATTCAGGCGCAAAGCCCAGTAAAACTAAGCAGAGTACATCCTGTTATAATATATCAATAATAATAGGGTATAGTGGACTCCCAACCGTAATATAAAAATATAAAGTAAAGGTTGTCAAAATGGTAGACTATTCTCATATAAAAATCTGTGGGCTTTATTTCTTTCGAAGGCAGAGATTAATACAACCACAAATATACATAGATGTACATGTTAGATTTGCCATGCGTAATTTCTGCAACTACTGTATGTTGATTATGAGACTGAATTTGACTAAAGTTTTCCTTAAATTTTGGGATGTCCCTTTATTCTTCCTTTCGTCTAGATATTTTTCTACCCATTTGTGAACTGCTACTTTATTTTTTTATTTTTTTTTTTTTAACGAAGTCAACTTTATTTAGAAATAAGAAAAATTATAAAAAAGGAAAAGATCTACATTATATAACATTTAGTAAAGAACACGATCGAACTAATACTATAATATTATTAGGGACTTAAGATTTTATGTTCAAAAGAACTATCTACCATCCTGCTCACCCAAATAGGTTCACTAAACTATCCGCATAACTACTACTATTCGTATGGACTTCGGTAATGTTATATAAAAACTCACCACAACTCCTTTAATTACTACTACAACATCAAAGATAATAAAAATAATACTACAAAACACTACCGTAATCAACAATATTATAGTAATCTATTGTATTACCCCCAAAATAAATATGACTTTGAAGACTTTGTAGATTAAAGTATTTCTTATTTTTTGATTTACGCGTTTTGTCAATAAACTGCTCTTTACCAAAATGTTGTTTTTTAACATTTTTATCAATTCCCAAACCTCTATCAATTTCATTAAGTTTATTACACCTCACTTTCCAAAAAATCATAGATTTATCCAAAATTTCATTCCTAAAATTATATGACAAAATTTCAACTTTTGATTTCGTAGATAATAATTGTTTAAAAAATTGTGAACTGCTACTTTATTAGCGATAGTATGCTTTTGGATGATAAATTTCTGATGATCATCTTCCAAATTTATTCACTTTTTCGCTTAATTTGTAGTTTGTCATACGATCTACATGCATTTTTTCATAATTTCGGAAATGCTCAATGTGAACTTTTTTGATTCAATTTTATATAGCTATATATATT